TTAGGAAAAACTTGGAACTTTGAAGGGAAATTGCTTTCAGAATTGGAGGGAAAAAAGACAAGCCATGAGGCAGAAATGGCTGGAGAGATGCCCGGAAAAGTAGGAAAACTTATTCCCACCTCTCCTTCTCTATCTAGCGTCTTCCTCCTAAAAAGTGCTTTGCTTCCTGTCCTACGATTGGAATGTGCTCCCTTCTTGCTTTTGGGATTTGCTGAAGCCAACGTGGCTACAATTGAGTGACCTGGATGTTTTTCTTCACCTTCAAAAGATGCAGTATAAGTAGCACTCTAAATAATGTATGTGAATCAAAGGGTAACTTCTATGCTAAAACCTAATTTTTAGGATGTTTCTTTTTCTCTTTTTTTTGGATTTATTTACTTTTAGAGAGAGGGGGAGGGAGAAAGGGAGAGAAACATCAATTTCTCTCCCTGAGAGTGGTTGCTTCTCGAGCACCACCAGCTGGGGACCTGGCCTGCAATCCAGTCATGTGCCCTGACCAGGAATCAAACCGGTAACTTTTTGGTTCACAGGTTGGCACTCAATGCACTAAGCCACACTAGCCAGGGCTAGGATGAGTTTCTTAACTCAGGAAATAGAGACAGAAAATCTTCATTTGTATTCTTTTTGTTATAGTTAGAATAACCATGTAATTTATCCTTAGAGCCAGGACACTGTTGAGAATGCAAGGGGCGTGATAGTACTAATTACTCCTAGACGACATAAACCAGAATCGTTCCAGGCAAAATAGAGTATGACCATCTATAGTACAAGCTTGTTGTTCAATAAATATTAATCCATTATTAGTGTGTAACTTTCAGCCCTCAAACTTGACATGAAAAAAAAGGAACATTCATAGAGATACTATTATATGTGTATTATTTTAGTTATGCTAGTACATCAAATAGATCTCTTTGTCCAGAAGAAGAATGTTCCATTTTTCTCCTCTCATGGTACTTGGAGCAATACTATCTGTTTTACTGATAAGATAGAGGACAGGAAGCTAGTCAATTGCACTAAATCATGTGGCAGAGCTGAGCTCAAAGCTCTTCCCCCTAGGTGGTGAATACACAATAGAATATACAGAATATACATGTGTTATGGAAATGTACATCTGAAGCTTATATAATTTTATTAACCAATGTCACCCCAATAAACTCAGTAAAAATAAATGTGAAAAACCTCTGCCCCCTAAATCCCCAGCAATCGTGTTGCTCACTGAACCATGAAGGGCTGCCTTCTAGACTTTGATCAGTTTTGTTACGGATTCACCTTTCAGATAAGAAATCGCGTGACGTTTGTAAAGAGGTTCGTCCTAGTTCACATTACCATTGTATAACCCTCTTCATATCGCTTCTATAAAAAGCCCAAGTATGAGTCCTGATCCTTAGTCATGTACTTGGGTCTTTTTTTGTAAAGATTTCTATGGACATTCAAGGGATCCAGGTATTCATTAAGTATATAGTACTTGGGATTTTTGTGTTGTGGTAACTAAGCAACAGTTGAGATGTTTTAATTTAGCACGTCCTGCATTGGAAAATTTAAAAAGAACTGTCAAGCCGTACTTGGCAGAACCTCCCTTGGACTCCCACCCTCCGCACAGTTCATGTACATCTTGGCTGCTCATCCACTGCTGAACAGGGACCTCTTCTGTCTCAGCCACTCTGACGGCTGTCTGAGCCTTCCCCACCGGGGGCAGCTGAACACTCAGTGTCTTAAGCAATTGGTAGGACTGGAGCTAGTCTGGATCATTCAGGAATGGTCTGATCATTCAGTAGCTTTTGCAACAATTCTCACATCCATCTTAAATCTACTCTTAACTGCTACCACTTTGAACAGTATTTGCCTTTGTTTATGAAGACATAACTAAATTTTTAGTTTAATTCACTAAACTCTAAAAATATGCATTTCAGGCATCAACACTAGCTTTTTAAAGTGAATATCCAATGAAGCCCAGTGACATAATGTGTGAAAGCATGCTGCAAAACATTCAATGTTATATGGATTTGACCTTCCAGGTGTACAATTTTGGAAGTATAACCATAGCACCAAGGAAACCATGCCAGGTACTTGCAACCTGTTCTTAGGGAAGCAGCATTCTATAGCGTGTGGTGGTTTAAAGCAAAAGCTTTGATACCAGTTGCACCTAGGATTCTGTTCCACATGTGACCTATGTGGTCTCTGACTTCTTAGCCTTAGCTTCATCATCTGTAAAAGGGGGTAAGAACCTTCCTTGTCCTAGAGGTTTGTAGAGGCTTAACTGAGGCACTCTTGGTTAAGTAGTGTCAACTAGATTTGTTTCTGTCTCCTCCTATATTGCATCTCAAAGGCTGGAGTGTTAAGAATTGAATAGATTATATGAAGTGTACGTAAGAGATTTCATTAGCTGCCAGAAAGGAAGCTGTGTAAGAATTAGGACAATACATGACACTCAATTTAACTTGGACTCTAAGAATTTAACTAGTTGAGTGTTATCTTACGCAAGTTTTCCCATAGCTTTGGATAGGGCTCAGTGGGGTTTTACAAGGACAAGAACAAGTCAAGATGTCTTGTGGAAGACAGAAAGGTCTCGACTGGTAATCAAGGAACTGCATTAAGAAGGGTATTAGATGCTCAGACAAAATACAACCCAGTGGGAAAAAACCTAAATACTTATGACTAAAAAGCTGGTGCCACCATTTATGTAGTATGACCATAGAAATTTACTCAACCTCTTTCAAGTTTTCCTTTTTTTCTTTTAGGGAAGAGTTTATCTTTTTAATCTAAGCTTTAAGGAATGCTAGTCTAAATGACCATTTAAAAACGTCCAACATAAAATATGAGAAACCTAACAAAATGTTAAATTTCCTCATTTCTTATGTAACACCAACACTTTAAGCACTGCTTAGAATTTTAGATGGTCTGAGGTTGGGAACCACCTGCCTGGTTTCAGAAGCTGTAACCACCTATGGCTAAGACTGAGTAAAGACACCTGGGGACCATAAGCCACTGAGGAGACAAAGCTCATCCTCCTGGCAGGGGCACTGCCTCTGCTCACTTTACATCACCCTGCCTGGCCCCTAATGCTTGATCCGTTAGCCAATGACGTGTAAGATTCCTCAAGGGAGGGATGACCTAAGACAGACACAGTCACAATGGGGACCTTAGAGGACTTGGGGGCTATAGAAAAAGGGGGTGATGGACCCTCATTCCTCAGCTTTGACATAGCCTGAGTCCTCATTCTGTCTGTAAGAAGTCTCCTAATCTCTTGGCTGCCTTACTTCCCCTGCCTGGCTTAAGCCTGAAACAATGCAGGAGGGCAGTGCTGCCCTGGGCAGGAAAAGGTCCCCCCTCCAAGGGCAAACAGGTCTGAGAGAGTAAAATCCTGTGAAACCTGCTAAGAATGTCCTCAATTTTCTGAGAAGGGTCTGAGCATGAAATGAGTTTGTTTGCCAAAGTTTTATGGCCCTTTAGCTAACTGACCCTGACTCAGAATAAGCCCTCAGAGTTCTCTGAATGTTATCTATTGTTTGATCCTTATTGCCTGATGATTGATGAGCTTTACCTGTTTATTCCTGTGCAAACTGAACCCAATAACAGCCCACTGAGGAACAGGGTCCTGCCTTTCTCCTTTGAGATGGGCCACCTTTCCTCCCCAAGATCATGTCTTTGTAGACTTATTCTCATCTGTGACAGCTGGGGGGTGGAGTGGGGTGGGGTAGGGGCAGGCTCTGTGGACAGCTCCCACCCCCCCATCTGAGATTCTATTACTCTTGTGAATCACTGGTTATGATTTTAGCAAATCTCAGTTAGGAGATGTGGTCATCTATTAAGGTTTTAAATTTTAAATCAGCAAACCTTTGTTTCCCTACACAACTTATTTTTAAGGTCTATGTAGCACATTGTATGCCTCCACCAAATAAATATATCGAAGCCTTCACCTACAGTGTGATGGAATTGGGAGACGGGACCTTTGGGAGAAAATTTTCGTAAGAGTTCATGAGGGCAGGGACCCTTCATGATGAGATTAGTGCCCTTAATTAGGAGACAAGAGAGCTTGCTTCTCTTTTTACCACGTGAGAGGACACAGAGAGGTGGTCATCTGCAAGCCAGGAAGCAACCTCACTGGGAAATCAAATAGGTCAGTGCCTTGGACTTCTCAGCCTCCAGAACTGAGAAATCAACTGCTCTTGTTTAAGCCACCCAGTCTGATAGTTTAATGCAGCAACATAAAAACCAGCTCAAATGAGAATAATGTCCAAATGCTATGGGAACAAACTATGGGATGGCCTAAATTTTCTTCTGGTATTAAAATTCTATTGCACTGACTTCTTTAAGATGTCAGCTAATACTTAGGATTCTATATTGCATTAGAGATCTGTTGCAAAAGGACTGGCATTAAGTTTTAGTTTTCATAGCTCCATCTTAGATGGGTACTTTTAGGGGATATGAAATAAGACATCAAATGCAACTTAAAAATTTATAGTTGCATTTTGTTCAATCGTAAGGTAACGAGCAGACCTCCCATTCCAAAGTAGAATGTGCTACAAATCATTAATTCACTCACAGCCCCCTTCATACTGGGGTTGAAAAAATGCTAGTAACCTGCCTATGGAAAGAAAATGGCAAAATATACCAAATTTAACAATGTGATCCTCACTAACGGCCTAACAATCATGGAGAGCGCAGAACTGTCTTTCAGTGGGAGTGGCTGTAGCAGGGATGGGTAAGGTCCCCTAACTTTGTGTCTACAGATAACCTGGTTACAAAGAATAGCCTGGCCATGAAGGGAGAAAAGGAAATCCTCACTCTGGACATCACGTTTCTGAAAGAGGGTTTGTGGAGGAGGGGTTGTCCCCACACAGCCTATAGCAATGCCTTAGTGAATGCAGGTCACACACAATGGAGAGGCCTCTTAGGCCCTTTTGTCTTTATGTCAACAAATTTGCATTGATTAGGCTTTGGACTTGTTCAGGGAAGGCCAGAACTGGGCCTAAAGAATAAAGTATGTGGAAAAACTGTGAAACCATGAAAATACATTTTAAGAAAAGTTTTCAGGTATAATACACAAAAGCAAACAAGTTTATCTTTAAAAATATCAAGTATCACACCCATAGACTATTCCTAATTATAATTACTTCTTAAAGCGACATTTGTCTTTGTTTACAAATACAGCAGCAGGTGATAAAACCTAGTCTCAAACAGATTGCTTATAGTTCATAATACAAACAAATGTATATGTCTCAAATCACATTTTAGGCAGTTTAACTTAAAATGCATAGACAGTTACATACATTAAATTTGTCATGGAGTCAATGAAAAAAATAACAATATCAAGAAAAAATACAAAAAACCTTTATAGAGCACAAAGAAGTCAAGTTTACTTAATGGCAACAAATCAGTATCTGTTATCAGTGACGGGAAGTGAAAGTGCCTTTATCCAGGGGAAAGGAGGAAAAAACATCCCACTATTTGCATGCTTGAAAAGCTACACTGACAAGACTACAATCTTGGAAAACATAATTTCTTAAAAAAAAAAAAAAAAAAAAGTTACAGCACACTTTGCTCTTTAAATGCCTTAAGGCTGGGTCTATAATTTCCACCAGCAGGAATAACAAAATGTTTATCTAGGTTAAACTAGTAATGGATACACTAACGAATTCTGTAATGCCACCCTTAGACTATAAACCTCTCAAGGACAGGCATTCTCTTTCATGTCTGTATCTCTGGCATCTGGCAAAACACCGGGGTCACAGACATAAAGTGTTGAATGAATGTAGTTCTCAGAAATATTCTAGAGCCAGAAGCTTGCATGGCATTTCTTTAATACTTACTATTTTATTGGCAATTTTTGTTTTACTTGGCAGAATTCTGAAAATAAAAAGAACAGTGTCTTCATACTAAATATTGCTCTATTAGGATTAAATTATAGTCCTCCCCGAACGCCACCCACCACTTTCTATGCATAGCACAGTGGATCAGTGTGATTCATCTGAATTTAGCCTTCTGCTTTTCAAAAATGTTAACACTGGAAGGTCTGTGCTTAGGTTTAACTCCCAGGGTTTATAACCGTGGTATTTTAATAAAGCTGGCACTAGATTATTCAGGGTGAGGAAGGAAGACATGGCACTAATCATTTAAAGGTGTAGGCAACTGACTGATATGCAAACTAGGCACAGTATTCTTTTTGAAACTTTGAGTAGAGCTTTTTCCATCTCTAGTTTTAAAAGCTGTACATTTGAGTACAATAGGTAGCACTAATTATTTATGAGGTAAATATCATGGGCACACTGACCTTTTTTCCTAGAAAATATTCCAATGTTCCATTGTAATGGTGTGACAGACCAAGGCCAAAAATTCACTTTTCTTTTCTGCCCTATTACCATTCTCTACTGAAAAGAATAAACAGTAAAATGGAAAAGGAAGGAGGCCTTTGGCAATTTAAAAAATGCCTTGTCTGTTCCTGAATAATCAATATATAACTAGACAAAACGGCCATTCTCAAACATGAAAAGGTGTCAGGCTGAGCCCAGTAAAAACAAGCCAAGCTATTTTATAAATTCCTTTAAAGCGCCTTGATTCTTGAGAACCGAGTGTGTGAATGTAAGGTCTATATTTTAAGTTTTCGTTTGTTATTTTTAGGCTCAACATTTCAAAGTCTAACATTCACACCCCAGGAATATTATTCCTCAATGTTATCCGAACTATCTCCATCCAATTTATTTGAAAATTCTTGCTCTTAAGTCCAAATGCCAGCCTATTCCATTCTTTATATTCCTTTAAGACCAAACATACTTGGTTACAAGCAATCTTCCACAAATGCATCTTAGCCTAGCATGACTTATTTTGAAAGCAAATTATTCCCTTGTAAAAAGAAATGCTCCTTAGATGTTTCTCCCATTTCTCCATGGAAACTTACATTCTTAACTCCATCCTGAACCTAAGAATACTTTTTGCCCAGATTACTCTCAAGAGTTGAGACCTCTTCCCTGATTTGAGAAATGATGTTCTAAATAATTACAGAAATAAAAGCAAATTCTGTTCCCTTTTTTACTCTTCCATTAAAAAAAAAAATCCCCCCAAATATCATTTGGAAAGTCCTTGAAAAGTAAACTACTAACAGCAGTATTGTCTAGGGCACACTGAGCAGTATGAATCACTAGCAAAGTTAATATACTTATTGGGAAGAGTAATTTCAAATCTTGTGTTCATGGTCCTTCCAATCCTTGAACAAAAGATTTTTCTCCAATAACACACGGGCTCCTCAATCAGAGTCCCAAACTTCCTGCCTCTTCCTCTTTCAGTCCGACATCATCCTGTCCAGTGTTATATCAAATGTCACATACACCTAAAGCCAGAGTTGTCATCCTAACGCAGGACAATCACAACAACTAAAAGGAGAGATATCTTTGCTGCCATCTCACTTTTCCTATCATCTTATGTCTCCAAAGTTAGCTGACATGATACTGATAATTTAAGGTACAGCCTTCTACAGTGACCTGCCCTGTAAATTGAAGGCTACTTTGACAACAGATTTCAAAAGTGTTGTAGATAGCTGCCACTTGGTCTTGTAAGTAAGTGAAAGATAAAAAGACTACTCGTGCCACTTTGTAAGACTGTCTAGCAACATTCACCAGTCTGAAAATATCTAAACAAATTATAGTTTCAATTCTGGAAGCCTGAATCTATCGTCCACTTAAAAGGGAGGTTGAAACACTGAGTGTTCCTCCCAAAGGTGATCATCTTGCTTTCTTAAAAGGAGGTAGCTATCAAACCATTACATTGGCAGCATTTGGCATTCTTGACATTTTAACTATACAAGAAATAAACTACTAAATACTTTATTTCTAAGCAAAAACAAGAGCTCTAGCATAAATCTGTCCTATACTGGTAAAGAAATTCACAATACATTTTAGTATAACCCAATGGATATATTAAAAGCTTCAAAATGTTATTCCACAAGTAACACAGTCAGTTCTATCCCAAAATTAAGAATGTGATTCAAAGATAAGGTGCCAAAAAAAACTACTCAGACTATTCTGGTAGCTACAAACAACACATTTAAGCAATACAATCACACTTCTTTAAACTCAATTGCAGAGATCTACACTTTATTTTCAGTGTCAGAGGATAATTTTTAAGGATGGCACTAATTCTATCTATTTACCTGTTGATGAATACAGAACTGAACTGTTAGCCATAAGCACTCTACAAACAGATCCAGGATACTATGCAAGAGACAACGACATAGCTTAACCAGACTCTGAAAGACAGACACATTATTTTGATCACACTTGTACAAAGAGAACAGTCATGCCTGTATGACTAAGGTTCTCTCAGCAGAACTGCTATATGTGTTTATGACAGACCTCTAGAGCGTGCCAGTTTTCCGTATCAGGGAGGAATTAAGGAATGTGATCCTACAGAACTGAGGGAGAAGAGGCTACATGAAAGGGGTGGAAGAGTGTTTTGTGGGAATGCAAATTACTTGTCACTATGAAGCAACTCCCAGGGTTTCCTCTCGTTTTTGAGGTTCGACACAAAAGAGAGAACTATTTCCTTCCTTGAGCTCTTCCCAAAGCAATATGGACATCTCAATCTATTCTAAAGCAATACAGAGACCACCAATTCTCTAAGAGCATAATTTACATACATGTTGGCCTGCATTAAAAATAAAAGTTTCCATAAATGGCAGATTTTGGAGCTTTTTGACTCATTTGGCTAGAAGTAAAACAAATCAAGTGAAACTCAAAATGCAAGTTTTCACTAAATTCTCAAGGATGAAATGAACACTGCCCAATAAACTCAACATCTGACAATAATTACTGCCAGTTCAAAAATGTATATTCAAAACATAACCTCAAGAGGACTAGATTTATTTATTCTATGGATAGAGCAGTTCAAGATGTTGAGAAGCATCATTTGTTTAAATTATGACATTGTGAATATTTTCAAAGTGTGTTTATTTAGGGAAAAGGTGATTATAGAAAAATACTTGAAATAATTTGCCAATGAGGTTGCAGAGTCTACCAATAATCCACAACATCTTAGATTTTTAAGTGTGTAGTTACATAATTTAAACAAATCCAAAATTTGTTTTAAACAAATTATATCAAAGAGCTATTCAATATACTTATTTTAACTTTCCATAAAAACTGAATAAAAATCACATTTTAATGATTTACTTTTACATTTTTATCTGATTGTATCCATCTGATATATTATACATCCAAGTACAAGAGGCAGATATCTTCTGAGAGGTGCAACAGTTGTTCTTTCATGAATGCCCTCTAATAGTGAAACCAGCAATTTTTATATATGCATTCATGTGCATATATATGTACTTCAAAAAGCAAAGCGTCATCTCTTCATCCATTAACTTAATGGTAAGACTGCAACAGAAAAAAAAAAAGTAAACTTCTAGATTTTGTAAATGGAGTTTACCACTCCTGCCTGTGGTTTAAACTGATTGCTTAATAAATCCAAACAGCAAGTCATCTCACTTATTTTGGCATACAATCTACAAAAACAATTTTAAAAGAGAATATATATAGCAAGCAATTACATTAATTGAAAGGATGTTTTGGGGCATTTAATTAAGATTTTCTTCCTTTACTTTTGAGGTGGATGTCTGGTTAATCTAGTTAGAGACCTGATTAGTTATATTTTGTTAGGAGTAAATAAGATTGTTTTCCCCTCAAGGAAACTCGTGCCTGTGTTTGAATACTCTCTTGGCTTACGTCATGGAGAAGAGGAGTGTTTTTCTATTTGGTCATATGCTCAAAGACAGGCTCTTCAACTAAGATGTCAACCCTACTCTGGCGCGGCGGTAGACCATAAAGCATTACACATATTTACAACAGTGGTAGAATATGGAGCTGAATGCTGCAAAGAATCTAACAAAACCTTGGCTAAAAAACACTATGGCGAGTTGCACAAAAGACGGGCAATGTTATGTTTGCTGCTCTGGATACTCTAAACATCTACTTCTGGTAACCATCTCTCCAGTCTGTTTCTGAGAATAAAATTTGTGTATAAATGTTATACATTTATAGCTTGGGATGGCTATATTAGAAAGCTTGGGAAGCTTTCTAATCTTCCATCCCAAACTGGAGACAAATCATCTTTAGTTGTGCTTGTATGACTACTAGTGCATGTTAAATGTTATACACAAATATAATTAAATCATGAAACACCAATTATAATCATCTACACTCACTAAAAAAATACAAAACTTGATTCATTTTGAAAATTTTGTTGATAAAATACACTATAAAAAACAAATACACGGAAATACTGAATTTCAACTAAAAAAAGAAAAAACCAAAAAAACAAAACACAACTACCTCTACATTAAGCCAGACAGGCAGAGATTGCTATTATTGAACTGTACTTCAGTGTAATGCTATAAAACATTATTGAGGAATATTTTTAAAAAGACCAATGTAATGCACCTGAGTTTACCTCAAGGATGCTGTTGAGGACACTGCTTAAGTATGCTACAAAGTCTTTGGGGGATCTTCAGAAAATTTTTCTTTGCATTTAGTACCGGGAGTATGTAACTTTGTGTTTTCATCCTTTTAAATGATTTACTTGAAATTTGAAATTTACTCTTTACACACAGGAGTGCACACACACAGACACACCTTCTTTCAGCAAGTTTTAAAAACTTTCTAATCTTCCATTCCAAACTGGAGACAAATCATCTTTAGTTGTGCTTGTATGACTACTAGTGCATGTTAAATAACAAATTAAACACTCACATGGGGACCACCAGGCATTGGTGGAGCACCAGAAGGTCCTGAAGGCACTTGAAAAGGATTATTAGGAGTGGGATAGAGTCCTGGTGTGGGATAGGATCCCGCAGGGGCAGGATATGGTGCTGGTGGTCCCCAAGCTCCTGGTGGAACAGTGCCCCACGGAACAGGTGGTGCTGCTCCTGGTGCTTGGGGAGGAGGAGGTGCAGGATATGGCCCTGGAGATGGATATGGCATATTAGGGGTAGGATACTGCCCTCCCATTCCTGGTGCCCAAGGTCCAGAAGACATGGATCCCCATGGACCTAATGGACCAGCTGCAGCTGGATCAGTGGGTGCACCATATGGTCGTGGAAGCTCTGGAAAGGGCATATTTGGTGTAGGATATGGCCCTGTGGGGCCAGGCCCTGGCACAGTTGGGGCTGGATAAGGACCACCGGGTGGGGGGCATGATGGTCCAGAAGGAGGAAAGGGTGCCGGGGGTCCTGGAGGTGGTCCAGTGGGAGGCACAGAGGGATACATTCCTGTTGGTGCTGGTCCAAAAGGCACAGTGGACGGTGTTGCACTTGGTGGGAGTCCAGATGGCACAGAAGGTGGAGCACTTGGGTTATTCCAAGGGTTGGAACCCGGCCAGCCTTGAGGAGGTTGGCCGGGTTTTGTATTGCTCACAGCAGAGGTTTTGGCAGGGGAGTGCTCAGGTAGCGCATCTGCCAACTGGAATACAAAAAAAGGCATGTCTCACCAACCTTATTTAGGGAGAAGTCACACCAAACATGATTATAAATATCTATTAACATCTTCCAAAGCCAAGCTGTTCAGTTTAAAAACAATTCATTTAATACAAAACCTGAGGGGTCACCTTGAATATCAACCTTACAATGCAAATTCCTCAGAGAAGCTGAAGTTTTCTAAATACTACTAATTAACTGATTACAACTAATATTATGGGTTTGAATCCCGGCTTTGCCTTAAGCAAGTTACATCTTTCTCTGAGCTTTAGCTTCTTCATTTTCAAAAAACAGTTTTAGTGTTAACTTAGGGCTTACATGAGATAATTTATGTAATGCAATTAACACTGTGCTGGGTATTAATTTTCAATGAATGTTGGCTATTATTAATATGAAGTTAAAAAGAGAGAAGAATACTTGAAAATATATTTTCAAATTATGTATGCAAGTAAATTAAGGTAAATAACCTATCAAAATCACATACCACCCCCCACCAAAGCCCAACAATCACAGAAAGCATCTCTTTCAAACTGAAAGACTATGGCCTGCTGTTGGAACTATGTTGTGTCTTAAGAGCTAGAAAACTTATAAAGAATAAATGTATCAACTTACCGAAAATTCATCAGACATTTTCCTAAAAACAAAAACAGAAAGAAAGGAAGAAAGAAAAAGAAAGGAAGAAGTAATATTTCAAAACCAGTGTTTACTGTTTCTTATATATTCTTTATTTTTACTTAAATGGAATCTTAATCATTTATGTAAAATATTTTTCTTTATGTAGGAAACATTTCCATAACAGACCAGACAGCTCTATCAACTTCATCCCTTTTTACTGGCTGCACATCATACAAAAGTGACTCACGATTTAGTTTTACATGCTAATCTGGGTGGCAGTTTATGTTTGTTTGCCTTTTGTGTTGTTTGAAAGAATGACAGAGTGAACATATCTGAACACATCTTTGCTCACTCAGGAGTCTATCACCAGCAAAAAGTACTAAAATGTAGGAATTTCAGTTAACACGTAGTTATATAAATTCCATCTCAAAAGTCCATGCCAATTTACACTGCCCACCTTTTCCTTTTAACTCTTCTTCACCACTGGGCATTTTAAATTTATAAATCATTTTCAATTATCGTAGATTAAAAATTGGCATCTTGTTTTACACATAATCTTAGCCAAAAGGCCAAGAAGCAAAGAAAAATTGGCATCTTGTTTTAACTTAGATTTCTTTAAGTAGAGCATCTCTTATATTTAATATTTCATTTACATTTTTTTCTGTTAATTTGCTTATGTCCTTGGGTTACTTTTATCAATTTTTTTAAATTGAAGTAAATTAACACCTTAAAATGCAAGGATCTTAAGCATTAGACCAACAGGCTCAGAGGTGCGCATGCGCCTATGACACAGAACATTGCCCTTACCCCCCGAAGGGCTGCTCATGCTCCTTTCCAATCAATTCCCCTCCCTCCCAGCAATCCCTTTTGTTACTTAACCTTTCTGCTTGTTCTTTGACTTCTTATAAATAGAAGACAGTATGTACTCCTTTATGTTTGATAACTTTACTACTTAGTAGCACACATCTTTCTAAAAAAATGCTTTCTGAGATAAGTAAGGACATTAGCTAGCTCTAGCTGTCATTTATGAGACCAAAACCGAACCAAACAAAAACCCCCCAAGTTCCTGTTATCTCTAAATACCTTAAGTATTTCTAAATATCTCTAAATTCCTGTTATCCTATAAATGGTTTGTTTTGTGTAGTCAAACTTATCAATCTTTCCAAACTACACATGGCTTCTGTTTTACAAAGGCCTTGTCTACTATTCCAAGTTTTAAAAAATTCGCCTATGCTTGGGTATACTATTTTTATAGATTAACTTGTTTAAACTCTTTGTTCTTCCAAACAATAATCACTGAATAATCTAATTTTTGTCAAATGATTTAACAAGCTGCCTTTAATACTTTCTACTGCTATTAACAAATACTATTTATTGAACATCCAGGGAACAGACACCATGCTAAGTGCATAATCTCATTTAATAGTCCCAGAGCCCTACAAATGCAAATTTCATTACCACCCCCAATTTACAGCTGGAAAAAGGGAGGCTTACCAAGTTAACTTGCTTAAGGTCACATAGCTAGTGACCAGGAGAGAAGGAATTCAAACCCAGGTACAGTCGAATTCTGGAACTAAGCCTCTTTACTACTAGGCCACTGTCATTTTCCAACGGCATTGTGGACTCTATTCTTTTCTACTGATCCCACCATACAATTTTACCTTAATTATGGCAGCTTTAATTTTTAATAAATGTTAACATGAGTTGCCCTCCTATTACTGTTCTTTTAAAAATTATTTATTTATTGGTTTTGAGAGAAAAAGAGAAAAAAATCAGTATGTTGTTCCACTTATGTATTCACTGGTTGATTCTTTAGGAAAAAAAAAAAAGATTTTATTTATGTATTTATTTTGGAGAGAGGGGAAAGAAGAGAGAAAGAGAGGGAGAGAAACATCAATGTGTGGTTGCCTCTCACATGACCCCAACTGGGAATCGAACCAGTGACCCTTTGGTTCACAGGTTGGCACTCAATCCACTGAGCCACACCAGCCAGGGCTCACTGGTTGATTCTTATATGTGCACCGACCAAAAGTCAAACCGACGACACTGGCATATTGGAATGATGCTCTAACTAAATGAGCTATGTGGCCAGGGCCCCATTACTGTCCCTTTTTCAGATTTCCCTGAATATTTCTCATGCTTACCCTTTCCAGATCAATTTTGGGGAAAAAAAATCTGTTGGTATTCTGGTTGGAATTGCATTAAATTTACAGATTTATTTAGGGGGCATATATGTATTATATATCTAAAATATCAAATCTTCTCATTCAAGAACAAGGTATGTCTTCCTAGTTCCCATAAATGTCACTTATTATCACTCAGTAGTTTTAAAAAATCACATCTCCTACCCATTTCTTGTGAGATAGATTTCTAACTGGTAAACTTTTTCTTGTGGTTATAAAACTGGATCTTTCATTGTATAGGGCTGGCCAAAAAGTTCATTTGTTTTTGTCTGCAAATGGCTCTAGTAATGTTTAGTTGTCTCTAACTTCATTTGAAACAATTATTAGATTATACTGTCGTATCAGTGTGCATAAAAACCTTATCAAAATTAATGATTTTTTTGTAGTCATTTTAATAAAGATAGAAGAAAATACACAACACTTCAAGAAAGGTAAAAATGCAACTGAAATTAAAATAAAACAAAACAGAACAAAACTGTGGTGTGTGTGGAGAAGGTGCTATGACTGAGCGAATGTGTCAAAGTGGTTTGTGAAGTTTCATGCTAAAGATTTCTTGCTTGGACATGCTCCATAGTGAGGTAGACCAGCTGAAGTTAAGAGTGATCAAATCGAGACATTACTTGGTAACAATCAATGTTATACCTCATGGGAGATAGCCAACAAACTTAAGATATCCAAACAGCAACAAAAAAATCCAAATAAAGTAAGTTATTGGTGAAAATGAAAAATGTGTCTTTTATTTTACAAAAAAAACCATACAGACTTTTTGGCCCACTTTTCATATGGTCTTGTTGTCCATATATGGGAGTTTTAAAATTTTTAGTGTATTACTTTTGTAAGCAGTGAATTACTGAATTATTTTATTGTTGCAAGTTTCTCAGTTAGTTCCCTGGGATCGCCAGGTAAACAACTATGGCATTTACAAAAATGTACTTCTACCTTCTCTTTTCCACAGTTATACCTTTTTTCTCTTTTGCATCAACTAGGACTTAAACAACAAAGAAATGATAAATAGTGGAACTATGCACAAATGCAAAAAAAGTTATGTTCCCAACTATCTTGGGAATGCCTCTGTTTAAATTAATTCTCATTTTTAGTTTGAGATTGAAAAAAATTACATTAAAGAAGTTGATTTACGCCTATATTTATTTATTCCAATTTTACTATTTAAAAAATACAGAAGACAATAAAAAGATCTTTTGGCATCTAATGAGAGTTGATCTCAGTTTCCCTCCTTTAAAACCCCATCAATAGTTAATTTTATATATAGACTGCTTAATATTGAACCATCCTTGCACTCTTAAGAGTTTTCAAGTGTGAATTTGGTATCAATTCATAAGAAACAGAACATAAAGCCTACTAATTCACAGCTGCCATAACCTTGCTTTTTATTCAGAATATGAAAAAACACATCCTGAATGCACAGCAAATATACTTATCCATTCATTTCCAAGTTAAGGTTTGTTTTATATTAAAACACCAGTAAATTCTCAAGACTAACACCTGAAGAATCTTTATCAGTGAATGCCAAGTTTAAAGTTCACATAAGACTAACATGTTTTTCAGAGTAAGCCTTTCCTGAAACAGAAAATGGTTCTGTATCAAAGTTCACATTAATTCTGAAGCAGAGAACAAAGCAACCAATTCAATTTCATATGGTCTTGTTGTCAGAATTATTTTTCCCCTCTTAGTCTTTGAAAAACATGTATGTATATATAATATAAAGTTAACTAGTCATAGAATTATATCAAAATGTTATACCATAAGGTAATACTATTAAACAGATTCACAATTCTGTCTTTCAAAATTTTAAATTCAACAACAAATCCTGGAAGATAGAGGAATACTAGAATCTTGTTATAAAAACAATGAAGTCCTGACCGAAAGCATTGGAAATAGGTCACATCCTGTTCTACATCACTGCTCAGTAAAAGGGACCTGCCCCTCGTATCTAGAATGAACAGTGTTAATGTTAATTGGAACCATTACAATTTACATTTTGGGGGATACTTTCATCATAAAAAGGTAAAAAATTGAGCAGGACCATCAGTGTCTTAACAAAAGAAGAGTTGCAGAATGTTGAAAAAAATTTACATTTTCTGAACAACTATTCCCAAACATCTGGGTTATACTAATCAGTAAGATGAGGCCAATGTATCCTTAAACTGGCAAACAAACAAACAAATAAAGATCTATAATCAAGTAAGATTTTCATTTTTTTCTTTCTGGAATAATCTAAAGCCATTTCTTCCAAAACTTCCACTACCACTTTATGGCAAGATCTATGCATTATCTGAAAAATAATCATTTCATATTATGAGCAGAAAATTAGTAATCTTAAAAGAGAGTACAAAATTTCTTTTATAATATAACCGAAAAGTGAAACATTTCTATAGCTTCTTTGGCCTTTAGAGTAAAAAATGGTAATTCAATTACAGAAAAGTTAACAAAAGTTGAACTCCACAGATTACTAAGTACTGGACAAGAACTATTTCAAAAGGCCACTACACTGTGATGGAATAGTGAACAATCTGGGACGTCTTGGCTGTGAAACCTGGGCATCAATCTTTTTAACTGAGGCTCGACAAAGTCAAGCTTAACCAGAGACCATATTTTCATCTGCCAAACAGTTATAATAACTCCTACGACTTCACAGATAATTAAGTTAATAGTCCATAGAGTACTACAGACATGTAAACTGTATTAAGAGAAATTGGGATTATTGCTTTGATTTGTTTAGTTTGCAGGGGTGGGGTGGGGATGGTAATATATTGCATTGGAAGTATAAGCTCCAATTAAAATAAGCCAGTTTTTACTACTGGCTTTCTTATCTACCTTACATTTGGGGAACTCAAGCAATTAGGGATTTGAAAATTTTTAACATTTTAAATTTCTTTAAAATGTAATTTTAAAAAGTAAATTTTTCAATAACCTCTTGTCAGCCATATTGTCTACATTTATTCAGCTACATATGGGCTAGGCACTGTGTTGGGCTTTGGGGAAAGGAATAGCAATGCATGGAATAAATGTTTCAGGAGTTCAGCGTGGTGGAGAGTTGAAACATTTCTTGGGGTAAACTAAGGGAGTACTTCCAAGAGCTCCTAATGGAATTAAGGGAGGAGTCCTCAGAAGTGGTGCCTGGGTAGCCTAGAAGAACAATGAATAGGAGACGGTGGGACAGGCCTTAGGGAAAGGAGAGCAGTTTGTACAAAACTCAAAGGGAGGCAAAAAAGGTCTGCGTGTGGTGTTAGCAGGTCAGATGAGTTGAAAGAAAGGCGAGGGATATGAAAGTCTTAGTAGAGGGCCTCAGACCAGGGTTGGAATGCCTCAGTCAGTGTCAGCTCTCCTGAACGAACCTCAGTTCTTCAACTGAGAACCAGTTACGAGCCTAAATGGGACTAAGTGGGACGTATAAGTCAAGTGCCTGTAACAACAGGAAAACAGCGGGTGGCCTACAAATACATTCTTTTGTCTTCCTTGGTATATAGGTGTGCAGCATATGGTTAAAAGAGTGAACGCTGTAAGGATGACTAACTAGATAAAACACAGCTCTTCATGGCTGGCTCTGGACAAGGTGAACTCTCCAAACCAGAGGTAGAAGTAGACAGGAATAGTATCCACCTCACAGATTTGCAAACAAATCTCTTGGGCACTGCCTGGCATATAGCAAAAACTCAACACATATTAGCTTTTACAATCGCTATGGTAGATTCACAAAACTTTACCCGCAGTTCTGAACTCAGAAGCCTCTGAACTGGAAAGAGACGGTTCTCGCTTGGCACAAAACTTATTTGGTGGCAAAACCTGACATGAAGCTATTTATAGTTTCCATGAATTCATACCTATCGCTGTACAAATATTAACCGCTAGATTATGTAGGGGATGCTGCCCCAACACTGCTGAGGGCACCATGTCTATAAACTTTACCGTCTAAAAATTTAAAGATAAAATTCAAAGATTTCTGAATTCCAAAACACACCGGGCCTCTGGATTTCGGTTACCGATCTCTGGAGGAAGAGAACACGCCAATCAACATCCGCAGCCCAATTCCAGTTTCTAAGACACACTAGGGATGCCAGCAGCAAGAAAAATTTCCGCTTTTCCTGCCCAATGAACACTACTAAATACAGAATTTCTGAAAGATTTCTGACGACCACCTTCGCTTGTAATGAGGTTTCATTTTCAAAACAGGCCTTTGAAATCACCAGGTATAGAAGTATTTCTTTAGTAGTAATGCTATAAAAATGTTTTCGTCTGGTATGATTTGATGCTTCAACATTAGAATCTTTACATATTGCAAGCACTACTCTCGGTTTTCAGAGAGGAAGACAGTTCAGCTATATTTATAAGCTACCTTTCATAGTATGCACTAACACCCCCAAGACAAAATATTACGGGACTTAAAATCATCTAACGTGTTTGCTAGCAACTCCTGTAGTAAGGAATGACCGGAACGTTGTCACACTGCGTGTAATCTTAAACAAGAGCCAAAGATTCCTCGAAGTAGCTATTCGGGCCTAGCTCGTCTCATGTATTAGAAATTAATGAATGGGGGAAGTCGGGGCCAAGGGGCGCGCGGCTGGAGGCCCTTTAGGGCCACATGAACAAAGAGAGCCGGGATCAACCGGAGCGAACCGGCCTCGGAGTGGGTCGTGCCTGCTGGGCAACGGGTGGGGGAAGGGCCAGGCCCGCTCCCCGCCCCGCCCCCCCAGTCAGGCCTGACGTCAAGCGCCGAGAAACCCGTCTGGCGCTACCTCACCCGCCTCTGATACCTTCTCCGGAGGACTGGGGGTGGTCGGAGGACTGCTAGCAGCCCCAAGAAAGAGTACGGGAAAAAAAATCGTTTAGTCCCCGAATAGCAACTCGAGGCACCTCCGTTACCATGCCCGCCTCCCGCTCCAGCGCGTTCCCTTCCCCCCTCCAGACCCTCATCAGCGCTGAAGCAGCCTCACCCGGCAAGATCCGAGCACGGAGCAAGGTCCAGAGGCAGTGATGGACACGAGGACACCAAGGGCTGAAGAACCAAGTGCAGACTGACTGACAGCAGTGGCGACGACGGCACCAGCAGCGGAAGCAGCAGCACCAGCACCAGCACCAACAGCGCGCGGCCCCTCCTGGCACCGGAACAGGAAGCACCAGCGCTGAGCGACCGCCCCTGAGGGGCGCTCCTCCCTCCCCTCGGCTGGCTCGTGGGCGCCCCTCGCAGGCCTTTGGTGGCCTTGCAGCCCACTCAATCGTTCCAGAGCAGCTACTCCTGGCGCTTGCGGCCCCGCCCCCCTCTCCCAAGGGCTCTCAAGTGGGCGACAGGAAAGCTCCCCAGTTTTCCGGAGTTCTTAGCCTTTAGAGGAAACGCCTGTAGTTAGTGACGTTACGGGCAGCCTGGAGGAAATTGCTTAACCGTTTCCTGGAATAGCTTGAGGGCAGGTTCTGGACAGCCCAACCCTCCAAGCGCGCTGTCTGCGGCCCAATTGGGGGATACGAACCCTCGGGCCAATACAGGGAGAGAGAAAAGGGAAGATGTTTACTAATGGCATGATATATTGAAGTTAACTAAATAAGCAGCTGTCTTCAAAGATTTTTCCTGATGAATACCTCTTTCCCCACGTTCACTTTTGAATAAACCTTTAAGTACTTGTTCGGTCTGAAAGATGGACACATGGCCCCTGATATTAAGGAACCTACTAGCTAGGAATACCATAATTATATGGTGTGCAAAATATATATAGTAGGTATATTTTGTGTAAAAATATGCAATATTCTTATAACATTGTGTTAGCTATTAGTAAGGTCAATGGATGAATGTTGTTATAAACTTCTTAAACGAAAATTTTTCTGAACATGCGACACATCACACTTACTTCCCACACTGAAAAATGAATGAGCTGTAGAGGGACTTCAAATATCTAAGCCTGGCAGATTTTTTGGGTAATGACAGTAGTCTATGAAAAATGGTACCATTTGTGTAACAACCAAACCGGCCCTCATACGAGTCAGTCTCTTGTGGAACCACAAGGAAGCCTGAGGCAGTTATCTTTACTTAAAAATTTGATGTTTTACTTATTATAGGTCTTTTTTCTTTGTGTTCTGATTTTAAAGTGTTGCACCAAAACACTATTTTTCATTATTGCATTTTTTGGTAAAAAATAAGTTGTGCCCAAGTTGAGTGCCTCACATCACCGTAATCCTGATCCTGGTTATATTACTGACTGCTTCCACCTTCTGCCATGCTCCCAGCAAATAACTGAGGAAGATGGGAATTCCAGCCTTAGGTCATTCCTATCCTGTGTGGGATCCTACAGGCAACCTTTGGGCACTAAATCACCATCCAGCTTTTTTTTAGAACTGCACTGAAGACTGAAGCCCACCCATTCCAATCCTTCCATTTCTTTCACAGATGTCAGATCTGCAATGTGGTATGCAGATTTCACCTTCTTCTGTTCCCTTCATCTTTATCTTGCATAGATATTCCCCACACTGCAATAAATCTCTTGCACATGTAATCACACCTTGACACCTGCTTCTGAAAGATCTGAACTGATACACTAAAAACTGAAAGGAGTGTATTATAAATTAGAAAATGTTTAAGAATACAAATTTTAAATTATTTTTTTTCAGATTGTAAAAGCTGAATGGGTGAGTTAACATACAATGTTTTTTAGAACAAAAAACAAAGCCTTTGGATTTTGTATATGAAGTTTTAATTAAGGAACAAAAATTTATTAAGGTCAATTTATTTGAACTCACATCCAAGAAAAAACTAACAACTTCAGGATTAGAGATAAAAATGGCAATAGTCTTTTTTGGGTAAGGGGTGGATCTTAGAGCCCTGATGGGGGTACTATTAGCTTTGTGAATTTACTACTTAAACTCTGTATATTGAAGTATACTTCGAGTTCATATGTGGTTTATACAGAATTTATCCAATTCCAACAAAATTAGCATAATTTAAGTAAACTTCCTTGAATTTTACACTCTCTCTAGTTTGAAAGGTAAGATTTGATTATAACCACTACAAAATGATTACAGGCATACCTTGGCAATGTCGTAGGTTCAAGTCCAGACCACTAAAGTAAAGCAAATATCAAAATAAATCAAGTCAAATGAATTTTTTGGGTTCCCAGTCATATAAAAGTTATGTTTACACTATACTGTATTAAGTGTGCAGTAGCATTAGGTCTAAAAAGTATATAGCTTAGTTAAAAAATACTTTATTGCTAAAAAATGCTAACCATCAGCTGAGCCTTTACAAAGGTTACTGATCACAGATCTTCATAACAAATATAATAATGAAAGTCTGAAATACTGGTTTACCTAGATGTGACACAGAGACATGAAATAAGCAAATGCTGTTAGAAAAAAAGATGCTAGTAGACCTGCTGCCACAAACCTTCAATGAAGAAAACACAACGGTATCTGTGAAGTGTAATAAAGTGAAGCACAATAAAATGTGGTATGCCTGTATCTTTACTTCCTACAAATGTAACCAACTTTTAAAATAATTTAGGCAAACATCAATTTTACATAAACCTTACTAAAAGCAGGAAGAAATTGCAACTCTTCACCTAAATGCAGAGTCTAAACCATAAATTCAAATTGTACTGTTTTCTCTATTGTCATACTTTACAGACTAAAAGTGAATGTGAATCTGCAGGGTCCACTAAGGTCTACCTTGAAAACCTATTACCACATTAGCACTTAACAGTTGTACAGAAATTATTTTCAAGTATGTTCCAAGGGTGACCTCTTAACTGAAGAATTAACCTTCAGAAGTCAAGTGACAAATATTATCTATATTTTATAGGCTGGGAAATTAAGGCAAATATTTAGGACTGAATAACCTATTTAAAAGTAAAAATTAAAAGACTCTGGCTTTATTTGAAGTAAGATTCACATGCCCCAAATCCCTTTCCAATGGGTTATATCCATTAGTCTACATTTCTACTGAAAAACTAATGCATTTCAAAAAGTTATATCCATTTTGTGTCCAGTATATTGGTGTATTGGAATAGTACAGTCTTGCAGTATTGCTCATTTCTAGTAGGTCATTAAAAAAGAAAATGCTTTGTGCTTTCTGTTCATTCTTTAGAAATAAAATGAATGTAAAACTAATTAAAACCAAAATTGTAAAGGTGTTTTTCCAAAGTAGAAACAATCTGCTTGACTTAAAATATTTTATTCATTTGAGCATTAAATTACCTAAAACATAGGCTATTTTAAGTTCCAGCATTGTTTCCCTTGAGTTGTCTCCAGGCATCTTACGACGATCGTAAATCTACTTTCTTATGCAAGTTGCCCTACCAAAATCAATACATAACTGATTTGACTATAGCTAAGAGTGACAAAAAGTATTTTTAATAAAAACTAAGCATATAGAAACTTCAGGCCAAGATGGAGGCATGGGTAGACACACTGTGCCTCCTCGCACAACCAAAAGAAGGACAACAAATTTAAAAACAAAAAAAACAACCAGAACTGATAGAAAATCAAACTGTATGGAAGGCTGACAACCAAGGAGTTAAAGAAAAAATATTCATTCAGACCAGTAGGAGTGGAGAGGACTTGTGGCAAGGCAGCGGTTGGTGGACTGGGGCAGGCAAGGCGGTGGGGGTCCTGCATTCGCGTGCAGATAAACCGGGAGGAACAAACAACTAGGGAGCAAGACAGACCACGCAACCCAGGGTTCCAGCAGCAGGGAAATAAAGCCTCAAAGCCTCTAACTGAAAACACCTGTGGGGGTTGTGGTGGCAGCGGGAGAAACACCCAGCCTCACAGGAGAATTCGTTGGAGAGACCCATAGGGTCTTAGAACATACACAAACCCACCCAACCAGGGATCAGAACCAGAAGGGCCCAATTTGATTGTGGGTAGCAGTGGAAGTGACTGAAAGCCGGCTGAGAGCTAAAAAGCCAGCTGAGAGCAAAGCAGTCGGCATTGTTCCCTCAGACCCCTCCCCCACATAGAGCATCACAATGCATCCTTGTGGGTTGCCAAGCCCTGGTGAACACCTAAGGCTCCGCCCCTTACTACATAACAGGCGGGCCAAGACAAAAAAAACAACAACAACAAAAAACAAATGGTGCAAATGAAAGAACAGTTCAAAGCTCCAGAAAAACTACAACTTAAGTGATGAAGAGATAGCCAACCTATCAGATGCACTGTTCACAACACTGGTTACCAGGATGCTCCAGGAACTCACTGGGTACTTCAACAGCATAAAAAAAGACCCAGGCAGCGAAGAAGGTTGCATTATGTGAAATAAAGAAAAATCTACAGGGAACCAACAGGAATCAAACCAGGAATCAAATCAATGGTTTGGAGCAGAAGAAATACTGAACCAGAACCGAATGAAGAGACAAGAATTCAAAAAAAATGAGGAGAGGCTTAGGAACCTCCAGGACATCTTTAAACATTCCAACATCCAAATCATAGGGGTGCCAGGAGGAGAAGAGGAAGACCAAGAAATTGAAAACTTATTTGACAAATAATGGAGAACTTCCCCAATCTGGCAAAGGAAATAGACTTTAAGGAAGTCCAGGAAGCTCAGAGAGTCCCAAAGAAGTTGGACCCAAGGAGGAACACACCAAGGCACATCGTAATTACATTAGCTAAGATTAAAGATGAGAGAACCTTAAAAGCAGCAAGAGAAAAGGAGACCATTACCTATAAAGGAGTTCCCATTAGATCATCAGCTGATCTGTCAAACAAAACCTTGCAGGCAAGAAGGGGCTGGAAAGAAGTATCTGAAGTCATGAAAGGCAAGGACCTATATCCAAGATTACTCTATCCAGCAAAGCCATCATTTAGAATGGAAGGGCAGAGAAAGTGCTTCTCAGATATGGTCATGTTAAAGGAGTCCATCATCACCCAGCCCTTATTATATGAAATGTTAAAGGGACTTATCTAAGAAAAAGAAGATAAAAAATATGAACAGTAAAATAACAAACATGGCTATTAATCACCGAACCTACAACAAAAACAAAAACAAAAACTAAGCAAACAACTAGAACAGGAACAGAATCACAGAAATGGAGATCACATGGAGGGTTATCAGTGAAGGAAAAGGTACAGAGAATAAGTAGCACAAATGGTAGGTAGAAAACAGACAGGGGGAGGTTAAGAATAGTATAGGAAATGTAGAAGCCAAAGAACTTGTATGTACGACCATGGACCTGAGCTACGGTGGGGGAATGCTGGTGGCAGGAGATGTGTAGGGCGGAGGGAAAAAAGGGGGGAAATGAGACGACTGTAATAGCATAATCAATAAAATATATTTTAAAAATAAAAAAAAACTAAGCATATATTCACGAGTTAGGTCTCAAGGTTTTTTTGTTTCATAGGAAGGAAGCTCTCTATTATGTGGATCTATAAAATGATCCAAACTTCAGAGACAGGAAGCTGATAACTTGATTTATCTTCTTAATGGACTTGGCTCATGAATAAATGATAATGATTTGTTTTTCTTATAAAAAGAAATGGAATTTGTATAATGATATGAGTCCTAATTGCCACATTTGCTCTCCTTTTTAAAGGATTCTAATTTCTAAGACATTCTTTGTATTATTATTTATAAAAGAAGTCACAACTTTAACTGAAAGCCACTCTTTGACCACAGTTTGCCATCAGCTGAAATTTAGTAAAGAACACAGGTCTGATCACCAAATCAATAAATCTAGCCACAGGCTGACTAAAAGCTTCCTCTAATCTTCCTATTAGGTCTTCCTTTAAATTAAACCATGCCCTTTATGAATTATTTAAGTGAACGGCATGATTATAGAAACATCATACATGATTCTTCATACAAAAATGCTCAAGGAACCTAAAAAAGTCCGTCAGCATATTTTAGGAATTATAGTATGAATCAAGATGCTGTAGCTTAAAAAAGGGGGGTTAATGTCCTGAACAGCTTCAAGAGAAATAGAGAAGTCAAGTTTACTTCCTGATTAGTGCAGGATGATTCCCAAAGCACAGTTAAGTGTCTGGTCCAGACTAGCTATTAGCAATGAAGTAGCTCCCTTTCACTGTCAAGGCTTTTCCCTGAGGTAAAGCCTAAATTCTTAATTTTAATATTTTATCTTGTTTCTTTTAGCCTCATCCTCTTACCAATAAGCTCTACACATTTCCACCTTTCTGAACTCCAGAATTTACTTTTCAAATTGTCACAATGCCTTAAGTGTTACAAAATTTAGATATATTTGTACTTACTCATTTTACTCACATTTTTCCTAATTTCATTTTAATAAATGTATTAGTTTCTAAATATTGGATGCTTTTCTAAATATATCCTCACAAAGTAGCCAAGAAAGAGATTAACTTTTATAAATTCTGATCTCTTAATGCTTTAAAAAATGAATTTGTTACTCTTTTCTTTTTCCTTCATGGTAAACAACTTTCTTCTCAAGTCTTTTATATTTCTACTTTCCAGATTTCTTTTTACTATAGCAAATACCAAGGGAAAAATACAAACCATTTCAGAGTAAATGACTCTTCCTCCTCTCATTTATTAGATCATCTACTTCAAGGCTATATACACGGCAGCATTTTGAAAATGTTGAGCTACTAATTGAAGTTGAGAAAATAGAAAGCCAGAGAAAATATACCACAACCAGTTTGACTATGTGAAAAGCTACTTAGATCATGATTTTTATATAAATACCAATTTTTACCATTATAAAACATAATTATGCTTCATTTTTCTTTATAAAATTACCTTTTAACAGAATATTTGTTAGTTTGTCATCCCTTAGGTTTTTCTGTACCAATAAAAAGCTATTTTTAAAGAAAAATATTTAAAATAATTGTTTCATAGAAACAGAAAGTCTCATTATCAAATTCTGATAAAAAAATTATAACCATGGGTAGTCTTACCATATTATTAGTTTTCTCTCATCAAAGATGAGTATTTAGGAAGTGTTATATTGGTAAGTAAGATAAGCTCTCAGTGATCTATAAAAGTGCCTCAATAAAGTCGAGGTAGTAGTAGACTTTTCTTTTGTAAAAGGGAAATATCTCTTTAGAAGAAATATTTGTCCTGACATTGGTGTTGAGATTCTGAGCCTCATCACTGCTGAGAGAGGTGCTATTCTAGGAGCTACCTTTCATTGGAACTGAGACAATCTTGAGATCACCGAGAAAAAAATGCTAGCCGATAATGGGAACAGATTTTCTTGGTTTAATTTTGTAGTAATTGCTAAGAATTTATTTTAATACTATTATTGAAAAAAATGGCATCTTTCCATTAGCAGCAGAACTGCACAAAAGATAAATGCTACTTCAACATAAAAGCAATGATATTTAAGAAACAGCTGTTCTAACTTGGAAATTTGAGTCAAATTTCTTTCAACTCAGGTAGAATCTGTTTTCTAGTAGAGCTAAACCAGCATCAAGAAATTACTTACTATGATATTAAAAATGGGAATTTACAAAGTGGTAAACAGCTCATCAGAAGAAACAACTATTTAGGAAATTTATTATTCACTGATTCTTTAAAAAAGGGGATGGATAAATATCACTTCATTTATCTCATTGAAATAATTATGTTTCTAAATGCTTTCCTCTTCTTGGGGACAGTAAATTTAAAATATTACACCTGTTGCCCAGTACTGTTCAGCATGGCATAAGCCATGTAGCTCTCAAAATGTTTTCCTCTTTTTGAAGCCACAGTAACACGTTAACTCTGAAAATAATTATTTGAAACCTGAAGGTCAAAAACAGTATTAAGCTTTCTAAATAATAAGCTCTATGTTTACTTTTGAAGATTTACTCAAGCTCAATTTAAAATAATGAAAAACTATATAGGGATCAATGAAAATTTGTTTATGAACTGTGGCATTTCCCCAAATAATAGGCTCAGAGTTTCTATAAAAGAGCTAAGTAGGAGCAACAGTTCATTAGTCAATGAAGAAAAGCCACACAGTTGCTTCAGTACTTTAGTGACTACTACTTACTAACAGTACTATCATTATTTTTAAAGCGCCTAGTGAGAAAGGAACAATATTTAGGTTCTGAAGATGGTAACTCTTCCAGGTTTCAAGAGGTCTATTCAAAGAATAACATATGACCATGCCATATTGTGGAATAAATTCACCTTTAAAAATGTCACATTCTCATTTGATTCTCACCGATCAAATTTAGTAATACTGCTTTATATTTAATATTTTACATAAAAACACAAATTTGATTTAAGCCATTTTGTTAACTTTAACATCCCTATTAGCAAATTACTAAAGTCAATTACATTAATATGGATTGTGAATTACAACACTCAGCTTTACTCAAGAATTTAAAAACAACTCTGAAAAGGGGGATGAGGAAACCATATTTTATGTATAGGAATGCCAGTGGCATAGGTTAACAAAGCATTTTACACGTAGGAAAGGACATAGGACTATTTTTAAAGAAAATCATGAAATACAGATTTTTAACTGTGTTTACAATGTCTACCAAATTCAAATATCCCTGGGTCATATGCAAATTACAATTAAGAAAAGAAAAAAGTTAAGTATACATTCTGTATGATAGAAACAAAAAACAAACACCTGGTCAAAAATATCCACTAACCCTTAGTGTGTAACCTTAAACAATTAGTGTATCATGAGAAAAATGAACTGATCTGGAAGCAAAATTTAGGGCAGAGGTTTATTTTGGACTCTAACTGCCCTTGTAGAAAAATTCAAAGTAGCATTAACAAAAATAAAATATTTAAATTCCTTTCTTCCGACCCTTTACCTAACATTGTTGTTCTGGTGCATCAATCCTGAGTACTCTAACTTTTGATTTATAGTGATATTCCTTCAGATATAATTTCATAGAAGAAGGAATTGGAAGGGCATCAATCCCATCATAAGTTGTACAGTTACAAATAACTGTTCTGCATATATGCTGCAGGGAAAAGGGGAAAGTCCGAATTAAAGGAGTGGATAAAAGTGGTTCAAAGAACATACAGGCACTTGGGTCCTTATAATGTTCTAGGAGCCCAGTAATGTTAGGAGAATGGAAGACACAAGGATCATGCGCATCAAAACTAAAGTTGTGATTCCATTGTTCAATTCTAGCATGAAGGGAACGGCTATAACGTCTAAAGCTAACAGAAAATAAATAGTCTTCCTGTGCTGAGTCACGAAGTAAAAAAGTACCCTCTGGTTTTCCTTCTAGTAGAGCTTCCGCTGCATATTTATCCATAACTCCCCAGTAACATGGATTGTTATTGATCCGAAGAAGGTCTGGTACAAGACAGTGGACATAATCAATCTGGGTGTGGTACTTAGGAGTTGTTTCCAACTGCAGGATTTCTTCATCCATCTCCCATTTGGGTTTGTTTCTTTTCCTGGAACTTGTACAAAGTGTTATAATTTCATCATCTGAATCCATATCACTATCTTCTATACTGTTATTTGAAACCAGGTTCATCACAGAGCCAGTCATAGGACCACTCCTACATGAAGCACTGTTGGTGGTTATGACACAGGGCTGAACACTGGGATGTGAAAAACAGTTCACCTCTTCTTCCATGTCTCTTCTTTGTTGTGGCTGACCATCTTTCATTTCACTCTGAGACAAGTCTGTGCTTACCAATTCATCTGATTTGGGATTGATAGGAGCAGTGTGCCGTTTAATAAAATGCCATCTAAAGGCTAAATCAGATCGAGGTGGGAAAGGACACTTATCTAACATGAGTTCACTAATATGAATTTTTCTTTTAGATGGAAGCCCTGAAGAGTGGCGACCACTACAATTCTTTATTGGGAAACACTGCCCCACAGCATCTTGCAGTTTCTGTTTAAGAGATCGGCCTAAAAATCTATGGCCACAGGAATGATCTAAATCCAACTCGATGGATGAACAGCTGTGCTTTCTTTCTTGGCTCCGCAAAGGAACTTCAGTTTTTTCTATAGCATTTACTGTTTCAGCATCTGAACAACTTTCACTCTTTTTTGACCAAGATAACTTCTTTCCACTCCACACATAGCCGTCCTTTCTGTCAGCACTTCTACTCCGACTAGTTTTGGGTCTAACATCTAAATTTTTACTATTACTTTCACTATTTTCTGCCATTTTAATAAATTATTAAAAAATTCCAGTGTTATAAATATTGCTTTTTCAGTTTTTCTGGAAGGAAATTTCTTTTAGGCACGTTCATGTACCTAAGGAAGGAAAAAAAAAATCCTTAATCATTTGTCATTCACATCATATAGTTTACATATTAAACCCCACTAGTCCCAGGATGCAAAATAGTAAATAGTTCATGAAAAAGATGGAGCACTTAAATAAAAGAACCAAGCTTCCTCTATTAGCCAAAATATATGATCAAAATGTGAATAATTTCTTGTCTTGAGATACATCTTATGCCAATAGCTTTTTCCCTTATTTTTTCATTTCACAATAGATCACTGAATTCATTTTAAGAGACAGTGAGACATCTATAAGCTGGTGTTTAAAGGTCACTACCATACACATAGTTCCTTCCTTCACTTCTTGTTTTTATTCCTACTGATTGAAAATATCAACAGTTTTAAGTTATAAAGCTATTAAGAATTTATTAAATAGTAATCACCACTGAACAGTATAAAAACCACATAAGCATTCCCAATGTATTTTTTTGGGGGGGAGGTTCCAATTTTTATTTACAAAAAACACAAATAATAGCCACCATACATTTTAGATCACTCTAAGATAACCAGGTTATCAAATTCCAGCACCCCCAAAATATTTTTTTAGCTATTCTTTTTATGGGGAAGTGTAAAATATCCACTGAAGTTTTGAAGTGCTGAACATTAAAAGAAATAAGGAAGGAAGGGAGGTAAGGAGGGAAAGAAGGTGAGAAGAAAAAAAGAGTAGGGAAGAAAGACAGAAAGGAAGAAATTGAGGGGGAGGAAGAAAAGGAGGAAGTCTGAGTCCCATATGACTTTCCAGTTCCCTTGGGACCCAGAGGCCCTGGTTTTGAGAAACAACAATTTTAGTGTGAGGAGTCTATCTTCTCAGAGTAAGACAGTTATTTTCCTTTCCAAAGTAGGACAGGCACATGTTCTCTTGCAGAGCTTCTTAACCATTCTTGGGTTGGGGAAGGATTAAATATACACTGAAGAAATCTAGCTCAGGCAAATGCCTAAGAACAGTTCTTGGCAAGTGATGAATTTTTTGGAGCTGGAATGGTGGTATTTGGCATCTGGTGAATTTCAGCATCTACCCACATTTTGGTGCCACAAGCTTTCAGGAAAGAGGCATCAGGCCAACTTGTGGCAAAATGAGGAAAAACATATTATCTAAAGTTTGAAATGCCTGGTGCTTTTACTTACTAAAAAATTACCAAGGTAACAGTTTAGTTGATATATGACCAACTTGATTCCAATGGGTGTGAGCTCCATCTTGCCTCCTTGCTACCTCTAAATTGTGTCATTTCTTCCTTCATTTCTACATCATTGCTAAGCTCTCTACCTCTATTTTTCTTTTAAGATTTCATTTATTCATTTTTAGAGAGAGAGGAAGGGAAGGAGAAAGAGAGGGAGAGTCACATCAATGTGTGGTTGCCTCTTGTGCACTCCCTACCAGAGACCTGGCCTATAACCCATGCATGTGCTCTGACTGGGAATCAAACCCTGTGACTGTTCTGTTTGCAGGCCAGTGCCCAATCTACTGAGTCACACCAGTCAGGGACACATTCTCTTCTAAAATTAGGGTGTAAAGCCAAAACAAAGGAAGCAAAACAGGAAACAAGATATTCAACATAGGGGAAAGGAAAAGTGAATTTCTGAGATGATGATGAAGGGAGGTCTCTGGACCTGCTGGAGAGCATGTCATTCATATAACCATACAAGGACCTAGGGCTGCCAGATGGAAGATTTTAGGGGAGAAAAAAAAAATAGAATTAACTTTTGGAAAATGCAATTGAGAACATATGAAAGCCATGGAAAAAGAATTAGGTAATTACTAATTATAGAAAAATTAAAACATTATACAAGAAATTAGAGTTATGAAATATAACACATGGCTTGGCAGTGAACGATATTTACCAAAATTGTGATATAACTATAATAAAAGAATGGTAAGAGAACAAGACTAAAAGAGAGGTAAATCCTAAGAACTCAACTGGTATCTAATCTAATAATTGATGACTCAAGAAAGCAAAGCATAAACATATTATTTAGAAATATGATGGTAATTATCGGAAAAAGTTAAAAAAATTGAAAGATTCCTTCAGGATGGACAGAAGAGAACTGCAGTGTTTCTTAGCTTCTCAGCTTAATTTTTTAACCTAGGTGCATGTATCATTTTGATGAATATAAATTTAAGAAAGTAATTAATACTCACTGTGAAAAATTCAAAGTAGAAAAAGTTGTGAAGAAAAACATAAAAACCATCCATAATCCTACCGCCCAGTAACCACTTTTAACATTTTCAGTATCTCTACACACGCATACGGCAAGGATGCAGTTCCATAGCAGTGACAGCAGGCACTGCAAATACAGTTCAAGTCCGGCTTGTTTTACACCCGCTATATGACCCTGAAGCCTGTTTCTTTATCTGTAAAGTAGAGGTAGTGACGCTACCTATTTCACTGGGCTGTTGGGGATTAAATGAAATAATGTACGTGAAGTACTTAGCTTAGATTCTAAATGTATTATGTACTCAATAAAGGTTAACATATTTTTTCTTTTTGGAAAAAAAAAACATATTAGATATGTTATTTTATTAAAGCACCTAAGCCAGTTTTAGTTAGACAAGCAGCTCTTAATGAAGAAATAGCAGAACCCCTCAATCTTCAGCCCAATGCAAACCACAGTTTATGAGCAAATAAAATTTTCAGGAAGATAACTAGTACAGTACTTCAAAGTAAAAAAAGAAAAAAAAAGGATCAATATGCCAGATATAGCTGAAACTCAACAGACCATAAAGCTACAAAACAAATAGACTTTTTCCCCCCGAGAACTAATTTCCAGCCTTCCTCTACACAAGTTTACATGCTAACCTAACAGGTTTACTTTGGCAAGGCTTACCAACTTGCATATGGTTGGTACCAATTGATCAAATGCCCTGGAATTTAAGTTAACTAACCATTCTTACATGTGCTAATGCTGCAGGTATCCATAAAATGAAGTGAAAAATACCATTACCTTAAATTTTCCACACATTTACCTGTACTTAAAGAGTTAATGCACAGAAAACCTTCTGATTATCTTTTTGAATCTAAGAATTATAGCTTTATATAAATTTTACATAGGTAGTCTTTTGCTAGAAAACTGAGTTCATGCTTCAGAAGTCCTGCTTTTTAAAACTGCTATGGCAAAAGTTGATTTGGCAAAACACAGCATATCGATATATTAGTCAGAATGTCACTTAATGTTATAGTTTCCAAAGTAGAAATAAAATTTATTTCCATTTATATTTGTCTAAAAGTTAGAAAAAATAAAGTTTTAATATTGGATGTCTAGTTGACAATGTTCCAATCACTCATCATCACATGCGTTACTTGTCTGAAGGTGTGCTATCCCTGAAGGAAGAGCTGGGGTTCCAAAGAGCTGAGGACTTGATTGCGCCCTCTCCATTTCTTGTTTACTTGCAGTGTACCACACTGCCTGCATGTTGCTGGAATAGAACAGTGGAATAGATCATCTTAAATAAGAGAATCTTTATAATCCTTTGTAAATAGATATGATCCTGGAAATTTTATAACACAAGGTTTGCTAATTACCTCAGAGCAAAATATTTAAATAAGTTTTGAACTTTTAAGATGAATTATGCATTTTTCTTTTACAAAGTGACAAGTGTTCTAAATTTGATTAACTTTACTGGGATAACAGGTGACTCTTAGAAGCTACTTAGCAGATGTATTAAAAAAGATTAGAAGAGGCCTCCCTCTTGCCTCTCAGCCACTGACAGCCATCCAGACTTAGGAAGACTTGGAAATTTCCAGGCCATGTAAGCCATGGCCTTGGCCATATCAAAAGCACCTGGGAAGCTGAGGTAATGCTGGTGGCTTGCATCATCCATCACAGGATCAACTTTGATAAATACCACCCAAGTGACTTTGGGAAAGTTGGTATGAAGCATTACCACTTAAAGAGGAACCAAGCTTCTGCCCAACTGTCAACCTTGATAAACTGTGGGTGGACCTTGGTCAGTGAGCAGACATGGGTAAATGCTACCAAAAACAAGACTTGAGCTGCTCCTATCCTTGATGGTGGTGTGATAGGGCTACTACAAAATTCTGACGAAGGGGAAGCCCCCATAGCAGCTTATCATCCTGAAGACCAAATTCTTTAGTAGAAGAGCTGAAGAGAGGATCAAAGGTCTTGGATTTGGGCAGGGGAGGCAGGAAAGGGACCCTTAGTCCTGTTAGTTTGAAGCCATGTGAAGGGAAGTTCATTAAATGCTCACAAGTGTTTTTTCAAAAAACAAAACAAACAATCCCCCCACAAAACAAAAGCCAAAAGCAGAGAGAGAGGGAAAGAGAAAGGGAAAGAAATAAAGAAAAAAAGGAAGGAAGGAAGGAAGGAAGGAAGGAGGGAGGGAGGGAGGGAAAGGCAAAACAGAACAAAACAGGTCACTTCATGGTATAGGAAACATCTTTTTTTTTAAGATTTTATTTATTTATTTTTTTGAGAGGGAGGGGGAGAGAGAGAGAGAGAGAGAGAGAGAGAGAGAGAGAGAGTAAGAGAGAGAGAGAGAGAAACATCAATGTGCAGTTGCTGGGGGTCATGGCCTGAAACCCAGGCATGTACCCTTACTGGGAATCGAACCTGCAACACTTTGGTTCGCAGCCCGTGCTCAATCCACTGAGCTACGCCAGCCAGGGCCAGGAAACATCTTAATAATTACTGAGAAAGTAACTTTAAAAAGTTTATGCTATGGAGAGATAATTTTAGGAAAAAAGATATTTAGAATTTCCTTTACTATTACATAATTTTATAAAAGAGTAAATATATATAAAAATCTAACATCTTTACATTTAAATACATGGAAAAAATTTTAAATCTCTTCTAGAAATTCCGCTAAATCAAAATTCTTAAAAATAAAAATCAATCACATACTCTAAATAAAAATAACATTAATTTTTAGTGAGAATAAAACTTTTCATATTTTATTTATTTTTAAAAATTATTTATTTATTTTCAGAGCAAGGGAAGTGAGGGAGAAAGAGAAGGTG